ATCTCCGGACTTTATTTAATTTTGATGATTATTATAATTCGATCGAGATGTTTGTTTTTCTAATCTTAGTACAGGTCAAATCTGATCTTGAAATGTCCAATTATTGCTTAATTATATTGAAGCTTATCAAAAAATTTCTTTTTCTAAAGATCATACTACTTGTAGTTCTTATTGTTACTGAGTTTCGTACACAGAATCGTCTTGTTAGATTCGTATGATAATCAAACAATTGTAATACGATTGGAGAGAGGGTAATTCTCTAAAAACTCAATGAATTCCTTATGTTTTGCGCTTTGATCAAAACAAGGAAGATATCGAAGATCGAAAAAAACCTATTGAACTCTTATTTCTATATATTCGACTAAATATGAGCACACCTTGGCATATGTCATGTTCAGTAAGTGCCTTTATAGAATCTTGATTAGTCGTAAATTTAATATTGTCTTAACTAGACAACTATCGTTTTTGTAATGACTTTCTCTTTTATTTTGGATATATGAAGAAACAACTTACTTCAAGTTTTTTATATAAAAATTTTATTGAGATACAGAAATGATAAACGAAAACTTAGTTAAATGTGCGATTTATAGAATGGAACAAATATTAACATTTATATTGAGCTTGTTTCTTGATATGTGACTTATCAATTGAATTGTGTCGATGCTTGGTCGTTCTTATAATTAAAATCCACAGTATGTTTTCTAGAAAAATCGGAAATGTAAATGTTATGCTTGTCTAAGTATGAATACCCCAAAATTCATGATGCAAAAAAATCTATACGCTATAGAATTATCAAAAATTCACACTAAGTATCATAAATAAAATCGACTTTTCTCTTTTTTTTAATCGAAGAATTTCAGGAGAGAGATCTAGTAGCAGCCTCTAGAAAAAAGAATAGTTTCAGAACTATTTTAAAAATTAGAATGAATTTTCATGTGAGCATGAGCATAGTCATTTGAAATGGTCCCATGAGTATGCGCTTGAGCGTACTATAGGTTCCAACTCACTTTCTAGAATCTTTTAGGCCGAAAAATCTCGTAGATATTTTCTAACTTTTCAATTACGTTCTGTTTTAAAGAAAGCAAGGATGAGCAACTCGTTTCTTCTTAAGCTGTTACAAAGAAATAGAAGGTTTTCACATGACAATGTGTAAAAGAAAAAGGATTGAAATTCCAACTTTTTCTTCGCCAACGCTAATTTTCAGAAAAGACTCGTGATGATTGTTATAGCAAAACATAGAATTTTTAGTTCTCTCATGTGTATCTAGCAACTAATGAATATCGAATGTGATTAAGGAGATGTATAATTGAATGTCTATTCAGGTATAAAGAGTCTTAATTGGTAAAAAAACTTTTTCGAGAATAGTAAATACAGATTTCTTCAAAGAAGAATAAGTATCCTAGATTTAGTATCTCTCTCTCTCTCTCTTAGAAGACTTTCCTAATTACTAAATAGTTAGTTATTGTAAGTGTCACACGAAATCCATTGAAAAATTTTGTGAACTATCAGAAATCTTGATCAAATTCAGATGAAATTCACAGAATCTCTCTCGGACGTATTTAGTACTTTCCGTCATTATTCATTCTTTTCGGTTAAAAATCAAAAATTTCACACAATTTTAAAATACTTTTATGATAAAATGTCAAGAGTTAAAAGGTTGACTTCATAACTCAGAACAAAGAAATTATTAGAATCACAAAATATGCAATAATTCAAGACATAAGAGCAATATTTATGAAGAAGAAGCAATAGTAATATGAAAGCTTTAGATAGAAATGGAAGACAAGTCATAAAAAAGCGATACAAGCTGTAAACACAGAAGAAAATAACCACATATACATTTATGAGGAAAGAAGAAACAGATTATGGAAGAGAAATTAGGCCGAAAAAGATCGATAGAGATTGTAAGAAGAGAAAAAAATAAGTGTATGGATACTGATGAAAAAAGAAGAAGCTGATCGTAATATAAGAAAAACAAGCTAAGAAGAAAATATATGAAGAGTCCGGAAGGAAAAAATATACTTATCGATGCTGGATGAAAGAGAAAGAAGAACTGGAATAAGATGAAACAGATAAATTCTAAAGCCAGATTTCATATCATTGATATTATGATAGACACTGTATTTCTCTGATATTCTATTGAAGATATTTGCATACAAATATTCAGAAGACACATGATTGGAAGAAATATTATTATCTTCTTATTCAGATGATGACAAACATATCAATGACGTTACACACAACATGAAGACTTAAATAGTATTTATACTTCGTTTTCTTGTAAAAAAAAACACTTCTGACGTTGCAATATGAATGTAGATATGGATGAACAGTATGCATACCAATAATCATAGAGATTCTATGGTCACAGGCATTGCTTAATGATTCAAATCGTTTATTCAATATCTGAAACTAATGGTTCAAGAGGACTAACAGCTTCTTCGAATGAGACTAAAGGCATTTTCTTAAAACTTTGAATCGACGAAAATATTCATCATAGTTTAGAGGAAATATCAGAGAAACGATGAATATGATTATGTCCATCAATTTATCACAACTGAAAGCACAACCATTCTTGTATCTTATTAGTACAGCTTATTAGAAGAATGTTGAAAACCTATCTAAAAATTAATATGAATATATTGAATTTTCACTAGTAGCGTAAAATAAACAACATGTAAGATAGGACCAATTTCGAATTTAACCTTTTCTTGCCCTATGGTATTTTGTAAATACCATTTTATAAAAAATTCATTCTTTTGAACTATGAGACATTAAGGAAAGGGGTTTATATCAACTTAAAGTGTGTATATTGTGTACCTCAAATCAATAGTTTGACACTATTCTTTACCATAAAAATAATATTTTTGACATTTTATGAATGTATAATGTTATGGCACACACTGTGGTCATGTTATGGGAGAATGAAGTTGTTTGTTCTAATTTAATAATATTCGTTGAAGTATATATCTTCTTGAAGGTGTGAGTGTGGATGTGTGGTTGCAACATAGACTCACACTCACGCACTACTTTATAAGTCATGATCTAACAGCAGCGATGAAACATTATGAAAAGGCAATGGAAGTATCACAGAAAACATGCTCTCCGTATCCAGAAATGATAAAGAATATACAGGCTATGATTGATTTATTGATATTGACTGTACCAGTTTCTCATTCTATCAAAGAACTCGACACTGCAAACGATTAGAAACGATTTATTAATCTGTAATCATGTTCGCACCATAGATAGAGCCGATGAGAACAATAAACGGCTGAAATAATGCAAGATTGGTGATTCATAAATCGGCTAAACCTTTTTTGTATTGTTTTTATTAGAAAGTTTCTGTCTCCTTTTTTCCAGAAAGAAAGACTAACGACACAAACTATTTTATTTGCATCAAGATTACTTTTAACTGCCTTAATTCGTTTTGGTGCTATAGTTATATATTGAAGGAGTACGGTGGGTATGGCTATTATGAATCCTCTCTTCTTCCACACCTACATTCACAAGATAAAGGCCTATAGTTTTCGTCATTAGATAGAGCAATCTCCAGAGCGTCTAATTCTATAAGATCTATTCGCCTTGAAGAACATTTCGATATCTGTTTGCCAGTAAAGAGCGTGAGTGTAGGATTTGTTGTGTGTGACGGCAGAGATTATCTACAATCGTGTCAACACCCACACTTTCACTATTTTGTTGAGTGATTGTATGCCATTGTTATAGAACTTCGGTTTCAAAATTATTCAACTAACCGTCGCAGTGTAGTTAAGAAAAAGAAATATAGCAATAGACAATATAAATGAGATATATATTTAGTTCAAATTGCCGCAAAATTAATATGATTTTTATTGTATTCGAATAACAGCAATAGGGTTTCTTTAAAAGAATAATCTGTGTCAGAAATTTGTTACGATGGTTTTGAATATACACTTGCTTTTTTATTCAAATTTGGACCTTGTCCAATTACATTTCTTCTTATCTTTTGTGGTGAATGCAAAGGACTTGTAATAAGCCTCATCGGAATACTAAATTCAACGTTCACGATTTCTGATGTATTACATTTGTTGAGTTTAGTCTGTTTCACCTGATTGTTCTTGTCATCTATGGATGCTGTTGTCGGTGGTTGAGCTTGGCGCGAAGAACAAGGTAGTTGGGATGATGTTGATGCGAGTTAATTGACATTTAGTGATGCGGATTCTTGGCACTGCTTCATCATATTAGTTTTTTTTTCTTCATTTAATATAGAATATTATATATATATATATATAAATCAAAAAACAAGTTGTACAATCTCTTACTTTAAATTGAAATTGCAGCATTCGATGAGGCGTTGAATGTTTTCATTATGTGTATCTTGCCGTGTATAAGAATGACACTAATTTCAGCTGCTCTGTGATATGATGATAGAGCCAAAATTAATTCGAAAGATTCTAGATGAATATCGCCATTTTTTTCATATAGAAAACCTATTTTAGGATCATTTGTGGGTGTGAGTGTTAATGTTTTCTTCAACCACACCCACATCCACACCCTACACATAGAACAAAAACTAAATTCTAAAATGAAGGTAATTATTGCATGATATCTCTCGCTTTTCTTTTGAATATCGGATAACAATCAGTAGTAATTGAAAATAGATATTCTTCATATCTACATTTAATCGATATAAGACTACTGTGAAAATGAATTGATATTTATTTCTCTTTGAATAGTCTCAAAAGAAGCTTTGAATGATTAGAACATATGGTAGATGAATATTTGCACCTGCTGACGGTCGCCCAAACACTCTGTGATAGTTAAATTAACTATCAAAACACTGAGATAGAAACAATTTGCTGTTATGAATTAATTTTTCAATGATATTCCTATTAAAAAAATATTCGTATAGAAGCAAGTTATTATTATTATTAAAATAGAACAGTTATATGTCAAGGATAACATTTGAGAACGAGACTAAGGGAATGATGAATCAAAAGCTGTTTGTTGTGTTAATTTGTTTAAGAAGATTGATATAGTTCTGTACTGTTTAAAGCCACCGCATTACCATATCCACCAGTAACTAACACTTTTCCATTTGTTAATACGGATGCTACATGATTAAATCGTGCGTCATTCATACTATCAGTAGTTGTCCAAATTCCTGTTAATGGATCATACAATTCAACACTGTCTAGAATAAAACCACGATATCCTCCAGTAATTAATACTTTTCCATTCATTAATACGGACGCTGTATGATACTGTCGTCTAGAATTTAGGCTACCAGTTATTGTCCAAGTCTCTGTTGATGGGTCATACAACTCAGCACTATCGTATAGTGAAAAATCATCCCATCCGGCAGTAACTAAAATTTTTTCATTTGTTAATATAGATGCTGTGTGAAAAAATCGTATGTTATTCATGTTGCTAGTACTTGTCCATATTCCTGTTGATGGATCATATATCTCAGCCTTATTTAAAGCAGTACCATTATATCCACCAATAACTAAAGCTTTTCCATTTGTTAATAAGGATGTAGAGTGACCATATCGTGCATCATTCATGTTACTAGTACTGATCCAAACTTCTGTTAACGGATCGTACAATTCACTACTATTTAAATAGACATTGCCATTGTGTCCACCACTAACCAACACTTTTCCGTCTGTTAATACGGATGCTGTGTGGTGAGCTCGTGCATCATTCATACTTTCAGTAATTGCCCAAGTTCCTGCTGATGGATCATATAGTTCAGCACTATTTAGAACACTACTATCGCGTCCACCAGTGACTAACACTTTTCCATTTGTTAATATGGATGCCTCATGATCTTGTCGTGCATTATTCATACTACCAGTTGTTGTCCACGTTCCTGTTAATGAATCATATAACTCAGCACTATTTAAAACAGTAACATAGCTAAGGCCGCCAGTAACTAATACTTTTCCATTTGTCAATACGGATGATGTGTGATATTGTCGTCCATTATTCATACTACCAGTATTCATCCATCCTACAGAAAAGCATTTATTATTAAGATCGTCAAATCATGTGCAAAAATATTTAGAGTTTTTAAAATGAGAATTGTTTCTTACTTTTAATATAAATTTTTGGAATTTTGTGGAGACTACAAATATTCTTGGACTTATTGTAAGAAATCATTCATGATGTGGTATGACAATAGGTTTGTAATTTTAACAAATAATTGTATGCATGAATTATAAATAACATGAATTTATATTTTCTGCCTGTTATTGTATTATTAATAAGAATTAGTACACTTTTGATTACATGCAACTTTTATTACTTTTCGATCCTAATAAAATCCTCTGGGTGAAGAAGTCCGTCATGGCTGAGTGGTTTCTTTATTCGGCATGTACCCACAAAGTACTATGTTCGAACCTCGTGATTACATTACGACATACAATATAACTCTCATAGCTGCTATGTGGTTAGTCAGTGTGCATGGGGAACTCAAATAAACGAGATGGCTGATTCTTTTCAAGCAACCTTTAACTAAATAGAGAATAACACTAGACGAAAAACAGTCACATAAATCTACTACAAAAGTAGTATATACAAAGATTAAGAAGCAATTCTTAAAGCTTACCTGGCTGTTGAGGAGTGGATGTAGCTGTTGTTGTTAACGTTAACGTTGATGTTGATATTGTCGTTGATTGTGGTGAAGCTGTTGTTATCGGTGTTACTAGTGATGTTGTAGTCGTTAGGAATAATGTTGTCATTAATGTTGTTGTTGTCGTTGATTGTGGTGAAGCTGTTGTTATCGGTGCTACTAGTGATGTTGTAGTCGTTAGGAATAATGTTGTCATTAATGCTGTTGTTGTCATTGATTGTGATGATGCTGTTATCATTGATATTGTTGTTGTTACTGGTGGTAATGTTGCAATGGTAGTTGTAGGATTGCTTGACGGAAAAATAACGAATATCAAAATCAAAGCGAGAGTAACTGCAAAAATTATTAAAATGATAAGAATAATGCAAAAAATCTTAAACGAACGACGATGCCACCATTTGTGAGGTCTATTATTTACAACAATATACTCACTGTACACTTGGTTGTTATGCATACTATGTTTCGTGAGAAATTATAATATACGAAAGAGCGAGTTTTTGTTTGAAATTAACTTACTTTATATTTGTTGATCATTCTCATATGAAGTATAAAACATAAGTAACATTATCTTCAATGTCAAAAAAAAGTAATGTTGTATTCTTATCTTGATAAAACAAATTTTCAATGTGAGCAAGAAATCTCAAAACAACATGTTACTTCTAAGTCTATTCACGTCAAATACCCTTATTTTAATATTCTTTTTCTATTCAGTACATACTAAAGTATACGATACAATCTTCTTTATCATATATTATAAACAAATTCTATTTTCATAGATATCTCTATAAATGTAATACAAAGTCTTTATATAACTTTTTCTATAAATACATCAAACATCTGAACAGTTCGTGGAGTTTTTGTACGAGATATCACTGTAAACATACTTTTTATCGAAAAACAACAGTAATTTGAAGCTCACTATTTCTAATATCGTTTCAAGCAATCAAACATTTGAAATTAACATGTTACTATAATGTATATTTTTCTTCATTCTAACTCGTTCGATACAGTCAGAAATGTCTGATTTTTTTCTGTTTTATCAATAATCTTCTTCTTACATTTGCAATCTTGTTATGATAATTTCATGAAGAACTTTTCTTCATGCTCTAAATATGAGTGCCTTAGAAATCACAATTTTGTAGAATTTTAATTGAAATGAGAGAGCATAAATACATGAGATACTACAAAAGATTTTTCACCCAACTCTTCTAAAAGTCTCAGTTTGAGTTCACGTATTCTGTTATAATGTATAGACATATTTAGGATTATGTGCAAAGTTTCAGATTTCTAAGTCTTATACTTCCCTGTGGTCCATCATTTCTTTTATGATAGGTGCACACAACCTAACAAGGGATGATCCATCATAAATAGAAGAAGTTTGCATTCCATTTTTTGATTCCTAAATAAGTTTTATTACAAGAACAAAATATACCAGAAGATGTAGTGTGAAACGCTCTATAACTTACATAGGACAAGTAGGGTGTGGGTGTTCCTCTTCTCATTGATCTACACCCACATCCACACCCACACCTAATGATATATTCTATGAAATATTCGATTATCTTGATGGTATTGATATATATAAAGCATCTTCAAATCTTAATCATCGTTTTCAACAACTACGCAATTCTTCATTTCTTTTATATGAAATTAAACTTAAATCACAATCGAATGAATCATATATGAATATTTATAAACAAATAATATTTATTAATGGACATCAAATATTTTCATTATATTTATATTTACCATTGTATATAAATGAATTTGTTTCATTCTTTATCATTGATTCGTCGTTTAGACGTCTTGAAAGGTTTGTTGTTACACAAATTGAATCAAATACACTTATCTCATTGCTTACTAATTTAGCCTCTCTATCTCGTCTTTTCTACTTAACTATTTACGCGAAGAATGGTTTTAATAATTTAAATCACGTTTATCAATCGATATTTGCCTTACCCATATTAAAATATAATAAGTTCAGCTTATATGACTACAAAAGATCAATTTCACTACTGATGGCTACCGATAGACAATCGAATACGATCGAACATCTTGTTATGAATCATTATTTTACTTTCAAAAGACTGTATGCTATAATATCTTATACACCTCAACTGCGTCATCTGGATCTTGGACGGCAAAAGAAGAGTAATCCTACCATTGAAACTCTAAGTGTATCTCATATATCCTTTGATGTATTCGAAATATTCTTAAAAAAATTAGATTGTCAATTGAAAGTTTTAAACGTTACTAATGAAGCTAAATCTATCGATTATCTTAATGCTAATCAATGGGAACAAATAATTTTACAAAGCTTACCTCACTTAGAAGACTTTTATTTAAGATATTTTATATAGCATGGTGATGATGATGAACCATCAACATATTTTGAAGATTGTAATCAATTCTCTTCATCATTTTGGATTGAAAGAAAATGAATATTTGAAGCTGACATTAGTTTTTACTCAAATGTGTATTCAATTCAACTATATAAGTAAATCGAAAAAAGACTTTTATAATAAATATATATTTCATATTTTCTTTTTAGAGAAAGACGGTATGATAACAATTTAACTAATACACTTTCTAAATCTGCTCAAGTTACTATTATAGATCTTCCTGCTCTTAAAGATTTCGAATTATTAATAATGGACATTCGTCATATGTTAGCATTGACACGGATCTATCATTTGAAAATCGATTAATCCGAAGTTTTTTTTGATGTATTACTTGAACTTTTATATAGATTACTCGACCTTGATTCATTACAACTTCTATCATTGGATGTGGGTGTGTGAGCGTACTCTTCTTTTATCATCCACATCCACACCTAATTTCGATAGATCAAATATCACTCTTTTAACAACGACGACTCATATGAATTCAACGAGAAAGGTATTTAGAAGTTAGTTGATTACTTTTTTTTTATTACAATAAGTATTTCAAAAAAAATAAGCAATTTGTCACAGAGAAAGCTCTACGTTTTCTAATGTCATTTCATAATGAAGATGTTGACTTAGCATTAAGATAATATTAAATAAATATTAACGTGAATGCTTTTGTATTCACCCTGATCGATAATTATAGTTCACCGTAAGTTACCCGGAACTTTATCGTAAACGGTCGTGTTCGCATTGCATTCCACTGTAAAACGACCATTTTAATTCATATTAAGGGGCTTTAACACGGTCAGTATTACAGTCGTAAACCCAAGGGGGAACAAGCGGACTTCTATACTTCTTCGTACTTTTCGTACTTCTTCGTACTTTTTCGTACTTCTT